AAGACTGTGATATCGGAACAACAACTCAAATCTAATATTCCATATTTAATGATGTATGAATTAATCATTAATTAATTCATAATCAATTCCCCTGAACATTGGTGGAAAACCACCCCCATTTGAGCTGTTAAATTCCTACACTTGCAACACAGGGTCATTAAGGGTTGCAGGGCTAAACCCAGACAAACTGCTGATTTTTGAAAAACCACCAAGATGCCTGGACAGGGGTCCAAAAAGAAAAAGTATCCAGGGAAACTGAGACATATGGTAACCATAACTTTTAGTTTAGGTCAGCTGTTCAAACCCAGGTGTGAACTCCTCAGCCAATCAGTCCTTTAATTAGTAATTCAATAAGGCAGTTGCCATGGAAACCTTTCTGGATAAGCCTGGCCAGCCCTGTTTCAGCAGAGACCTAAAGCAGACTCTCCGAGAGGCTCTGCTGGGGTCACTTGAGGGCAACCAGATCTGGGACAGCCTTTGTCTTGTGTTACGGCATGGCATGATGGAAGGAACGATCCAGTGTGCCTTATGAACACAAAGGCAAATTTATTATAAACTGAACTCTGAGTGGTCTAAACATAAGCAAGTAAACAAATTGAGAATTTAATCAAAGTTAACAAAAGGCTAACAAAACATGGAAAACTAATACCTTTGGGGAGCGCATATATACATACAGTATATATATATATATATATATACACACACACACACATGCATAGGATAGATAAGAAAGAAACAGGGCCATTGATGATTAACCAAACACTGGGAGTAACAAGAGACAGGCGATGGTCATAATCACTAAACCTGAAGAACTCAAACACTAGGAGAAATGAAGAACTGGGATTCCAGAATATACCATAAAACTAAATGTCAGAATTTCTGAGTTCCTAGTCAGAAATTTCAACTGCAATGTCCCCTGAAGTCAGAATTCTGACTTGCTAAGTCGGAGGAACCTCTGCAAGGCTGACCTCAGAATTCAAGATGGATTCACAGAAGTGAATGCCGCAGGTACATACTAATTAGTAGCACATAAGTATTTTTTGTGCCTTATTATATCGGCTGTTGTATTAGAATGAATTCGCGGATGATTATGTCACCCACGTGGCATGGAATAAATCCTTTTACTATAATATTCTGGGAAGTTGTAATTGTGGATTAATTCTGATCGTGTGTGGACTGATCATCCTGAAATTCAGATCAATCGTCCATGATTCACCCCGAATGTTACTAAACTACACGAACATGTTATTTACCGATCCCCTGTAAAACCTATTTCGCCATAAATAACTTAGGTTCATAAAATGAAGCCAGGATGCTAATCTGGGCCATTAGATCAGCATGCAGAATTCTTATCTTGGTTTCGGGAGATAGGGTGGGGGGTCGGTATACAGCACACTGTATTGCCTTTAGGGGGGAACAGGGAGGCATTGCGCAAAGACACCTGGCGCAAGGACGCCTATTGTAGTATGTTATCGCAAGCAGCATCACTCGGACAAAAGGGGGAATTGGAGTACATATTGCCTGGGGGGGGAGGGGTGAGCCTGGCCAGCTTACCCCCTGCCTGCACGCAACGCTTTAAAGGAAGGGGGAGATCCCAGTACTGACCGGAGCTCAGCCGTGGGATAGAGCGCGCATCGCCCGGCACTTTCTCGGGACTCACGTGTTGGTCTCCTGCCAGGACTGAAAGGGCTCCCCAGTCCGTGTGTAAAGGTCGGTTTTGCAACTGCTTATGCGTTTCATTGATAGGTGATTGATATTGATTTTAATGCAAAATTATCTTGTATTACTTGTATTAAAGTGTTTTTGAGTAAACCTAAACGTGCCTGTTTGTTCCTTCGAGGGCCCTATATCCCTCTCTCATCCATTTTAATACAGCTGTACACCCAATACTGTCCGACCGCTGACTGTGGATTTCTTACTACGATGTTTGTATGCACCAAATATTATGTAATGAGTTGTTATCAACTGCATGGTATTACTAACAATGGCTAACAACAAACCTGGCTAAAACTGATATTGTTAAATGGCTTTCCAACTTGTTGTACTGGAACGCGGCTAACTCAGATGGGACATCATTCCCAGCTCTGACTTCCAACCTGCGTGGTAAATGGAACGCAGCATAATTCTCCCTGAAGGGCACAATGTATACGTACAAACCCTGTTCAACAAGGGCAATGTTGTTGGCTAGCCCAATGTGACGGGACCTTATTATTTTGTCAAAAACTTGAATTTTGCCAAGTACAACATAAGATTTGTCCCTCTCCATTCTATCCTTGTTCAGCTACAATGACCTGCCAATTTTAATAGAAACACAAATTGGGACAATGCTTAACATGCTGTGAATTCACTGCCGTCTGTCAAGCCACTTCTGCCATCCCATTGGCTCCCTGTCTGAGAGGGTCTCGGCAACTGGGGAAGGCGAGAGATCCCGAAGTGTCACAGCCTGTGAAGGCTCTCAGCTCACCTGTCATGAGGAGCCGCACCGTACGCGTCAGGTTTGGCTGGCTCAGGAGCGGCATGTGTTTGACGAGCAGCGGTAGCAGAGCCAGCAGGACTGAGAATGATGTGGCCAGCTGGAAGCGTGAGTGTGTGCGTGACCATCAGAAGCATCAGGCCGAGCCAGTGGAGGCAGTGCTGCTCGGCCGCAAAGAGGCGTGTCATGCTTTGGCGGCCCAGCTGGCCCAGGAGCATAGTGAGCTGGCAGGGCAACAGGAGCAGGGCGAGCGGGACCAGCAGTGGCTGCATGAGTCCCTGGAGCAGGGTGAACGGGACCAGCAGTGGCTGCATGAGTCCCTGGAGCAGGGTGAATGGGACCAGCAGTGGCTGCATGAGTCCCTGGAGCAGGGCGAGCGGGAATAGCAGTGGCTGCATGAGTCCCTGGAGCAGGGGTGCTGCAGCCTGGAGAAACTGCAGCAGCAGCTGGTGGCATTGGAGCAGGTGCGCAAGGCCACTGGAGTAGCAGAATAGGAGGACCAGTAGAGGAAACAACCTGGCAGTCAGCAACAGATCCCTACCAAGCTGCAGAAGAAGAACAGCTGAAGCCTGGGAGGACCAGAACCACCAGAGCCTGCTGGTCACCCAGCGCTCCATTGCAGGCCGGCTCCACCAGTGGTCCCTTGCTGCTCCGCGCGTAAGCTGTTCCAAGACAGGAAGAACCTGCTGCTACCACCAGTCCTTGGAGTCTTGCTGTAAGATATGGCTGTGGTGGTTGCCAGGATGGCCGACCTCTGGGAGGGGGGCAGTGTAGTGCCAGTAAGATGGTTCACATAGAGGAGCCCAGTAAGTGCGCAGAGCATGCTGCAAATATTGTAAATAGCCCCTGTCCTATTAATGGCTTAATAAAAGGGCATTCTTTCCCCTTAAAGCGAGCCTTCCCATCCTTTGACCCCTTCATTATGCCTTGGGCCCAGTTGTTCAATCAATTTAATCCAGATCAAAGTAATCCAGATTTTGAAATCCCTTGTTTTGCTATCCAGGGTTTGGTAATCCATTTTACTTTTATGCTGGTTTTTCAAAGCAACACTGGATTGGATCACTGTTATCCAAATACAGAATTTTCAGGATTACCAAATCCAGTTTACTAGTGCATTAAATGGAACCAACAGTGTAGCCTACTGGCTATGTCAAAAACAACAGGTAGACCTAAAATACTAGTGGCCACAAATAGCCATTATATGTTTTAATTTGAACAAACAGAAAACACCACAATAAACCAGAGCAACGTCCAATGTTCTCTCCAAATGAGGGACAGACTGGACATGTGGTCAGGGATGCAATTTTAAGACATTACTTCTGACTGGTGAATAGAATAATAGTAATTATTACCATTTTCATTAAAATACAATGGACAGTAGAGCTTTTTGTTTTGAGCTTTGAGATTTTGAGTACAGATATCTCACGGGGATTTGTTTTCCCTTGACTATACCGAAAGGCTTCATGTCTTATTTCCTACTTTATTTTCACTGCCACTGTCCTAGTTCAGCAATTGCACAAATTATAAATAAATGTATATATCATCAGCAAACATTGCTTTTGTGATCAATTTTCAAGTTTTATTTGATTTTGTGTCAGAAATCCACTCTTGAATCCACCCATGTGTTGGGATCAGGATCATCCTCAAATGTATCCCAATTCAAACACAAACTTTTGAACAACACAGAGTGAAGGTTTGACCCAGATTGGATTAGGTGATCTGATCTGATTTCAGAATCCCTCTTTTCCCTTTGAACAACCCATTTTCAAGATTCAATCCAATCCGTTATCTGAAATCCCATTGGATTACTTTTGAACAACTGCATGGGCCCTGGTCTGCCAGACACTACCGTATTAATTGATACATTAAATGCTCGATTTTTGCTCAGCTACACCACATTTTCTGCACTTCTGTGTAACTTCCAAGTTAGCGCCAATGCTTGTGGTCAACCACTCAGCCAGCTATTGCTGTAGACATTTCCCTGTAGTATTCCTGTTAAGACATTAAAATAAAAAATTTCTGCACTGTACTGTCTCCTTTCCAACCTATATCCAACCTGGAAGAGACCAGTAAATGAGTTTGCCTGAAGTCGTGTCTTTTTAGACATGAAAGCAAACACCACAGTCCAATAATTCCTAATACACAATCTAGTGCCCTACCACTCACATATTCCATATCATACATACTTATCAAAGTCATATCTGGATTTCACGTAAAACAGATAATACATTGAATGTAGTACATACAGTGTACCATACTTTTAATGCAGAGCAGCTCTGAGATGCACGAAATCGCTCTCTCTCTTTCTCTCTCTCCCTATATATATATATATATATATATATATATATATATATATATATATATATATATATATATATATATATATATCCATCCATCCCGTGGGGATGTTTATGAACATTTGCACTGTAAGTCCCATAACAGTCTTCTTCAGTTCATTCACCTTTGCTCAGCCCTTCTGCTCTTACCCCCTCCCCCCCCTTCACACACATAATAGGCGATCTTCTCGGGAAACGTTGACCCCACTAAGAAACGGAACTTTGTAAGCAGAAGCAACCGGCTCCTCTGCCACAAACTTCTTCTGAGCGTATCGGACACGGAAGGCTAATAATGATAATAATGCATCTCCTGGAGACAGAGACAGTGGTTTAAAATGATATTACCTCCCGGGTTTAATATACGCAATGTGTTCAGGCTTTGAATTTCCGATTGCGATGCGAACCGGTTTCAATTCTGCGCAAACTCGAGCGTCAGACAAAGCAGTTTTTACTTGAGCACGTGATTTTAAGAGCTTCCCATGGACTGTGTAACAGCAAAGTCCATTTTTTCGGCGTTCTTGGGTAAATCGTGACAGTTTCGATGTGACCTGGATTCCTCTATAGTAGATTAATGGGAGCGATCGCAGGGGCTGCCGTGAAAGCGGAATAGCCCCTTCCTCACCGAGATACTCGTGGCCGACGCGGGGTAAGACTTCATATGTGGATACAGTGTTACTGGTCGTCTTGATTGTTTTTAATCCTCATTTTTATTGAGAATAAACTTACTCTGAATACGATCTGTTTCCGGTTAGTTTCAGTGCATTGGTGGATAAAGATAGCTAGCGATCCGACATTAATTCCGGGTGCTTATTAAACAGGATATTTATTTTCTACTTCTGCTTCTTCTTTGCGTTTTAATAGTCTACCTGGACATATCGGTAACTAGCAAAATGAGTGTCTGCTCTCCTGGTTTGCTCGCACGCGGACCACTGTGGAGTTTTCGTTTTCATTTTTGACATTATGTATACATGCACACACATACACACACACATACATACATACTGTACATACATACGCGTGAGTGTGCTCGTGTAATATGTGTATATTATTGACATCGGCAGCTCAATATACGGACGCTGAGTTGTTTTAACCCTTTTTAATCCTGATAGCGGAATCTGGTAATGGTGGTATTGGCATTAGCTATGAAAGGTAAAACATGCGGTCGGTGAACACCAGATGTGTCCTTTTTGGGTGAATTGGGGAATGATACACCAGGTTTATTTGGTGTGACCTTCATCACGGCAATACTCTTAATTATGCTTCCTGTTATGTAATCTTGTGAGACGGACATTTAATGCAGGGTTCATTTTGATTTACAACTGGATAAAAACAACAGTCTGTGTATCTATGTAATATTTAGACGCGTGGGCTCCTGATTGTCGTTGTTATACTATGAAACTAAGGTAGGCAAAGCGCCGTGTTTTGAGTGGTTTAGGGAAAACGATTCAGAAAGGATGTACCGAGTAGGGACTTTGATTAGAAGATATTACGTGCAAATGAAAATGCAATGAAAAAGAAAGTCAAAACTTAGGTATCATATAACACTGAGTACTTTAATAGAAATGTCCTCTAGTAGGCAATTTTATTGCTTAGTTATGGGTCCTTTAACATCTGTTCATAACTTTCCACCGACCTCTGCTACAAAAACGTAAATGAGTTCTAGTTCTGATAAAGTCATATGAATTCCTCAATGAATAGGAAAATATATATGTCAGTATGTAGTTTAACTGGGTTTAAAGAACATTCAAATAGGAGATTCGTGGTTAAAAATTTAAAAGAATTTCATTCGGCATAGTAATAGTTTTCTGATTCTGAAAATAAAGCCAGCTGAACTTGAATGTGCATGTTGCAGCTGGAATTGCAGGAGTGCAGGAGACATTATCAGCAGACAGGCCCTGTGCTGGAGGCCTGTTTGGGAATGTAGAGGCTGGGCGTTAAAATCTCTTTCCAAGGCTGAGCCCCCATGTTTTTCACAGCTCTGAAGTGCTTTAATTTTTTCTCTGGATTAACCTGTGATTTGTGTTTGCTGAGAAATTCAGTAGAGGCCTGTTTCAGTTTTTGTGATATAAGAAAGGCTAGATAATGTGAATGCCTTTGATTTTTGGTTAAATATAGGCTTAAGTTCAGCTTCTAGTTCTGTCACAGGTCCTTTTGAGTAGGCCTGTGTCATGCTGAAAGTACACTGGGCTGAAACCCAAGATCAGGTTCTGAAAATCCTGTGACATGTTTTCCCTGAATGTCTTACTGTCCTTCTGTTCTGCAGTTATCTGCTAATTCTGATTTTCCTGGTGGTTCCATTTAATAAATTTTATTATTATTATTATTATTATTATTATTATTATGCTGTAATCCTTGACCTTTGAGTCAGGTGACAGAAAGGGTATTCTGGTATCTCCAGTTTAGAGAAGAAAATATGACTCCTCCCCCCACTTCCCCCTCAACTTGTTGCTTAAATAGAGAAGAGTGGAATTTTAAACGTTCTACAAGTTTCTCTTTTCTTGTTTCCTATGGCAACGTTAATGGAGAGAGTCCATAGTTATACAAAAAAGTGTCTGTTCCAGACAAGAAAACTGGTCAGCTACAGACAAACGTTTTAGCTGATGATAATGAAAGTTGCATGACTCTCTTTGGCTGTCTTTGGTAACTAAGATTGTTAGGATGACGCGTCTTTAACTGAATGGTTACAGGTTCGAATCCCATGGCAGGCAGAGCGATGTCGCCATTGGGCGTTGACCAAGGCCCTTAACCCCAGTTCCTCCAGGGATTTGCTCAGTTGTATAACAGATGTGCATTCTTATCTTAATCCACCTACATGGAATGTCAATAGTTCATAATTTGGGATGTACACGTTACTTTGTGACACCCGTGAAAACATTCTGCAGCTTCAGGGCTTCGTCAGCTTGAGGTACAGTGCTGTACCATAAGTAGCTACTTCTATTATTATTATTTTTATTATTGTTATATAAATGTGACTTAAATACAGACTTGGGCAACGGACCTCGTTCGTAACTAGGCTGCCTGTAGGCCTATCTCAAGTATCCTCCTTAGAGCCACAACACCAGCCTATCCTTTACTGGGATATGAATCGGAACTCCTTTGTCAGTAATCTACCACCTGCTACTCTTTAACCTACCTAGAACTGTACTTATTTGTTTTTTTAGTTTCTGCCAGTACACTGGGTGAGCACAGATCCTTTCTGGCTGTGATTGATTTGCCATGTGAATAGAAGGAACAGAAAATGAAAATAGAGAACTCGCTAGTTTTTCCATTCCATCAAATTTGCATTGAAGTGTGCATGTAATGGCAATACAGCTTGGCTTGAAGATTTTTTCCCTATTAAGTCATGTCAGCCACATAATTTATCTGATCCCAATAATTTGCATATAACTCTGAATATGGAACACTGTGAACATTATGCCTGTCCCACTAAGTAATATACAAGACAGAGTACACCTTGGCTGGGATGCCTCAGAGGACACACACACACACACACACACACACACACACA